CAGAGTAAGTCACCTTGGAGCTCAGTAATAACATTGACTCAGCCTGTCCTTGTGATTTTATTTGTTTGTCTTGGACATAGTCCAGACCAGAGCAAATATCTTAATAGCCAATGGAAAATGTAAAAAAAAAGCAGGAGACAAGGGGGCCCTGTCCAAATGGGGCAGACACTCCTAGTGACAGGAGTATCACAATAAAAAGAAGACAACTCAAGGATGTTACTGTGCCAAGGAATTTGATTCTATGGTGGTAGTGGTGGGATATCTCTGTTGAAAGTTTTTACATTTCAGAAGATTTAAAATCCAATTTTTTGACAGCTTTTCTTCCAGCTGTTTCTTTGGATGACTTGGATTGAAAGCACCACCATTCCCATTCAGCACTCCAGTGGTAGGAAGATGAGAGTTGTAGTTCATGAACTTTCTGCCTGGTTTGAAAGCTTACATAAAATGCAAAATGCATACATGATATATGTTACTAACACCATTTTGCAGCACTACTGCAATCAATAAGAATTTGATAGGCTTAAACCCAACACTCCAAGCCCAGAAGAATAATCCAGTGTATGCTTCTCAGTCCATATAAGGCAACTTAATAACTTTTTGTTAGCAAATAAAGTTTAAGCAAAAGACTTTTACAGTTCACAACCGATTTTTGACATGTACTTTTGAAAACGAAACACGAAATAGAATAATTTTGCTCAAGGTGCTACAAATTTTAAATTGATCTTTGTTTCTAACAAAGCTACCCTCTGGAAGCCCACCTCATATATCCCTAGCTCCTTCCCCTTAACAAGTGAGTAGCCCATACTAAGGAATGGTGAATACATATTGAAACAGTGATGAGCAATTTCAATTTTCTCCAAAGGCAGTAACACCCAAAGGATGTAAACAGATTACATACACGCCTAAACACAGCAGCACATGGAGGATTGCTTTCATTTATTTGCAAGACAAATCCACATAGCTCACAGCCACTCAGAATCGGAAACTAAGGTGTTATCTAATTGTTAGCATTACTTGTAGAGGCCTTACAGAAGAATCTTCCGATTGTTGTTATTCTCAAGCAAGGTCTTAATGAAACCCTAAAAACATCTGCTAGGAACGTGCTTTTTTTCCCCTCAGCGGCCAGGCTCAGGACAATGGTCTGAAGTTAAACTCCAATACAGTATTGGCTTGGCATCTGTTTATCTGCCATTGCATCAGCTGAGCTGTTTTCTTGCCTGCAGCTTTAAGGGGTGGGAAAAACTGATGCAATTGTGGGCGTTCTTGGAAAAAGAGATATATAGACCGAAATGCAGTCTCCCCCACAAACAAACAACCTTGGAAGACTTGTTCTTGCTGCTGCAAAGCGTCACATTGCCCTGGTTTTTCTTTCTTTCTCTGCCATCTGGGACCAAGGGACGGGTCATCATGTCCATCTCTTTCGTCCAAGCCGAGAAGCTGCGCCCGACCGCTTTCGAGGTGGAATATTTTGACCAGTACGATTTCTATAGCTTGACCGACAGATACAGCGGTAGGTGCGGTGGTAAAGCTGCCAGATTTTTGGGGGGAGGGGGGATTAAAGTAGGCTAGATTAAAAATCAGAGGTTTTAAGGGACTATCAAATCAAGAAAAGGGCACAGGAAAAAAAAGAGCAGCTTGGGCGTTAGGAGGTGGGATGTGGCATCGCTTAATTTTGGATAGGGCACCCGTGGGGCGTGGCAAGAAGGAGAAATCGGTGACGTCAGGTGTACCATTACATCATCGTGGCTCGCATCGCATGCCTGTGGTTAAATTATAATCGCTCCCACGTTCGAGATTGCTTGTTTTGCAAACTGCATTAACGTGAAATTACCTATTAATCCGGAATTTGTCTTTCCGATTAGATGTCTGATTTCACCTTTGTGCGTGTATTGTAAAGAACATCACTCCCATAACACAGAAACGGGAATCTCTGCAAAAATGCTTTAATACATACTAATCTAGATGAAAAATACTTGCGGCTCTACAATACACCAAGGAGGGGGTTGAAAGTACTCGCATAATCCATAATAAACTATTTCTGAAAGCTTGTGGGCTAGCCGTACCTCGGCTTTACGATCTGACAATTGTATATTTTGCTAAATAAACCATGGCTTCACAAAATTTGCGAACCAAGACTCCCCAGATTCTTGGATTTGGTTAGTGTGTTATGTAAATCCAGGCATTGTGTTAATTAACCAAATTTTCTATTACTCAGTTTTCAAGTTGTTGAAAGTCCCACATTGGTCTTATATCCACAGACACACAGACACTCTGCTGGCACTGCTTACACATTTGTGTGTGCTTGGCACATGATTCCCACAATGACTGGCAAACATGCCTTTGCTAAAAATAAATACATAATTTATGTTTTAGCTCTAGTGGCTGAGAAAAAAAAAACACCCAGTAACCTTCCAAGTGGCCTAATTCCTAACCAAAAACAATAGGCTGTTTTTCATCCCATCATTTTTTTTTAAAAAAAGTCATAACTTCTTGAATTTGCTTTTTGCATTTTAAAAAAAGGCGTAGAAAAATCAACTCTAGTGCACATCAGCATTCCAGCCAGTTTTTCCACCTAGGCACAGGCCTCTACATATGGCCAAAAACAAGTCCTTACAGCTCATTTTAGTGGAAACTTTCAAAGCAATTATTATCCTTCCTAAAACATTATCCTCAAATTAGCATTGGCTTGTAGAATTTGGCAACCACACACCCTAAAAATAACCCTCTTAAAATCTGATTTTGGTAGATATAGAGCCAAGTTTTTCTACAGAGCCACAGAACACTTTTTCACGCGGTCTGAAGTTTACGAATCAAAATTTCTCAAAATTTCTTATTTTTTGCTAAGTCAGTGTGAAAAGGGAAGGTATTTTTTCAAGTGGTTGCTGATTGCAAAGGGAATAAAGCATGCAATGCATGTAAAAAGTAGCTTGAGTTTTGATCATGGGGTGATGGCTGCCATCTTTACTTTTTTTGACATCCTGTGGCTCTTCTTGCTCCTCCTCCTTTGCTTAATAGACAGGGAGAGAGGCTAGAGTTCAAGAACATCTAGTAAACTATCGATTATCCATTCCTGGATTTAAACAAGAGCACATGTCAATGGCTCTAAGTAATTAAATGTTCTGGGGTATCCTTAGGTGGCTCTTCACGCAAAGGCCGATCCAAGAAAGAGGCTGAGGACCATACAAATCGTCCAAATCCTGGTGGCCACGAGCGCAAGATCGTTTTGAAGCTGCAACGCACAGAGCAGAAGCGAAAGGCGACAACCTCCAAAAAATGAAAACACACAGGTGAGAAGCCAGTGTATGGCTTGATATATAACTCCCCTGATGTCAAGAGCTTTAACCCAAGTGATTGTCCATTGACACAAACTGGTAAAAAGCAGCTGGGAGGGGCTGCTTTCCTTGCAGAGGGAGGGCACACATCCACTGTATCTAATGCAGTGTATTTTTTAATCTCTTAAACCAGGGGTAGTCAACCTTGGCTCTTTTATGACTCGTGGACTTCAACTCCCAGACACCCCCCCCCCCAGCCAGCCCTTTCTTAAACCATTTTTATCAGCCATTCGGACTTCACATGGAGGCTGCAAATATATATCCCTAGGTCAGTGGTGGCGAACCTATGGCACGGGTGCCAGAGGTGGCACTCAGAGCTCTTTCTGTGGGCACACGCGCTGCCACCCGAGTCCTAGGCCTTCAGTTGGGTTTTATAAAATCTTTTCGCTTTAGGCCTCCACTGCCATGTGCAAAAAAAAAAAAAAGGTTCAATCAGTCAGTCAATTTCAACTTCTCGTGGGGAAAAAAAATATCTTGCAAAGTTGGAATTGATTGATTGAACTTTTTAGTCCCACCCAGTCTGCCGTTACCACCGCAGCCACGCCCACCCAATGGGCCACACCCACCTGGCACCCGACGATGCATAAGTGGGTTTTGGGTTGCAGTTTGGGCACTCGGTCTCTAAAAAGTTCGCCAACACTGCCCTAGGTAGAAGCTGCACCCACTACTCACCATTTTCTCTTCTCTCCCACCAGCTCTGAATCTGGTTCTCTACTCAGGTTCTGGACACCATGGCAATGTCAATGAGGATACGGAGACTGACGGATGGACGCCGTGTAATTTGACGGTTCCTTGAATTACGGAAGATGGTAGACAGTCTTATGGCTCACATCAGGAGCGAGTGAAAATGAAGGCTGCAATTCATCCCAAAATCATTAGGGGGAAAAAAACCCCAATGCCTTAATCATTTTTCACTCTGGAAAAGCAAATGAAATGATTGCACTTAGGCTTGGAAAAGCAAATAGCCATCCTAAGCTTTTTTTTTTTTTCTTCAATATTCCTCCCCACTCCAAAAAAGTCAGGATATTGTAATGTCTTAAATAATTTTGACATTTATCCTGAGGGAGGAATTGGTTCGTCTATAAATGCTATTAGAAATGCTAGGCCAGTTTGTCTTTCTCTTTAGGAAGAGGTGGAGATAGTGGATGAATAAACTTTATAGTATGGGGAAAAATGAGTTTGTAGCAATGTCAACTTCACATAAATTAGGGAAACGGGGAGTGGGGCAGGAGAGTGGATCAAGAGAAACCTGTATTGGGATAAAGGGAATAGCATTTGCGTTTGTATTTTTCCATGCTAAATAAAATTGGCTTAACTGTTTTCTTGCAATTATTTGAGTGAAATGAAGCATAAGTATTCAGTGAGTAGAAATAAACAGAAGGAAGAGAACTGAGGCAGATTTTACAATAAGTTTTTATTAAACACTTAGATCCCCCCCCAAAAAAGTACCTTGGCAGTATTTGTTGATGCACATGGCATAAAAAATGAGTCCTTTGATTTCAAGTCAGTCTGATGCCTCAGAAAGAGATGCACTTTAATAAATGGTAAATAACTTCTGACAAATATCTAACTTTGGTTTGTCAACCTTCATCTCTGCCACCCTCCAGAAGTTCACTCCAACAAGATGAGCTTCCAGAGAAGCAAAGAGAATGCAAACCAATCCCCCCCCCCCAATTTGATGGGAACAGGGAAAAGAGACGAAAATGATCTTAATGGATTACCAGAGCCAGGCTAATTTGAGTCAACTGTTTTCCTATCCCCAAATAGCAAATCCTTGCTCAGATTAAAACCAGAGGTTAAATGTGTTTCTTTTTTTTTTTTGTTGCACTTACTATAAAGGACCCTGTTACCAGATCTGTACAGTAATGTCTCCTCCACAACATGATCAGTTACATTATTTTGCTTAAAGCTGATGGAAGCCAAAGCCCAACTTCGGAAGGACTTAATACATAGCATCTCAGAAGAGTTAGCAAAGTGTTGTTTCTAGATGTAGCCGTGATAATGGTGCTATCCCAGAATTAATTAATGAATGCAATGCACTGAGATCAAGTGAGCTGAATTGGCCAAAACAGTGGCCTCTTTTCAACATAACTTATACTTCCTGGCATTGGAGGAAAAGCTAGCTTGGGGTTCCCAGTGTGTTCCAGGGCATACTGAATAAATTATAAAGGTCAGAGGTCTGGGGAAATCTCACAGTGTTAAGTACTGTATTGGCATTGGTTGGACTATGACCAACCAATGAAGAGACTTGTTACAAGGATCCATGTCCCATCTTTCACTCCCAAGAGATGGTCACATAAAGGCACTTGTCACGTGAAATGGAAGGGAATAGTCATCTGCATGCCCTTAGCATGCTGGTACATTTAGAAATATGAGGTATTGTACAAATGACAGATAAAATTATGCTACATTTACCATAATAAGCTTATGTGAACTGTCACTTTAGATCATTAAGGCAGCAATCCAGAAGTGGTGCCCTTGACATCTTGATGCAACTACAACTGCCCATTATGATAGGAACCAACAAAGCACTGGTTTATAATGTTGCCAAATTTAACATCAGGCAGGGCTCTGCCATCTCTAAAACCAGGAGCCAAGTTCAGCTGGATGCAGAATTGGGCTTTGCCGCTACAGTCCCCTCATCAGGTCTGAAAACATCATTCTATCCACAGGCAGCAAACAGACCAGCAGAAAAGATAACCAGTGAATCAATCCTTTCAGATGTAGGACATTAGAGGTAAGGTTAGTCGTAGTTCAAAAGGATCCAGGATGCCATCCCTATCCAACTGGTCCTGCCCTATGTGAAAAAGATGGCAACTGGATTGGATCAATTGGACTTGCAAGGCTTGCCGTTGTAAATGCTCTTCTCTAGGTATTGATGTGGGGCAGGGGGAGAAGAGGGACGTGGAATCTCCTCAGAATAGGCTGCTTTCAGTTCAAGTCCTGTTCCCCAATGCTTTGTCGAAGGTATTCCTCATAGAGCTTTCTCTGCAGAGAAAGAGGGTAATTTTTTAATTTGCTGTGCTAGTCAACCCGTTTCTCTGGTTACCACAGAATCCAAACAGGACTCATACTCTTGCCCACTTAGGTCCTACAGAATAGATACCAGTCCCCATGTGACAACTTCAAACCACCCCAAGTCCCCAAAGCAGTAACCTTCTTAGCCAAGACCACATCCAATACGTAATTCCGTCGATCTTCCAGCTGCCTCTTCTGCTTTTTGGAGAGAGTGGGCTTCATTCTAAGTGGGACAAAAGGAAGAGTATAAGAATTCTGGTGAACAGCCCTTCCCGGTAAACAGGAACGTTCTTACCTGAGAGTGTAGCTGGCCGAGAGCAGGAAGAGAATCGAGAGGAAGAGAAGACCAAAAAATACTGTTAAGGTTTGATCTTCAGGGACAAGCCTCCAGACTGATGCAACCGGTTGCTGAAAATTAGGATTAAGAATAAAGGATATACTTGATATTAGGTGAGGAAAACATAAGTTTATCCACTTGCACTTTTAAGAAAATAATAATATAAAAATACATTTTTGCCAATAACGCCTGAATTCTATGGCAATAATGCATAGGTATCCTTGACATTTAGCGGACTGTTCGAAGTTACAGTGGCACTGAAAAAAGTGACTCATGACCATTTTTCACCCTTACAACTGCGGCAGCATCCCCACGGTCACGATTTACATTTGGATGCTTGAAAACTGACTCACATTTATGACGGTTGCAGTGTCCCAGGGTCATGTGATCATCTTTAGCGACATTCTGACAAGCCAACGGGGAATCCAGATTCACTTAACAACTGTGTTACTAATTTAACAACTGCAGTGATTCACTTAATAAGTGTAGCAAGAAAGGTCGTAAAATGGGAGAAAACTCACTAAACAAGTTTCTTACTTAGCAACATAAATTCTGGGCTCAATTATGGTCATAAGTTGAGGATTACCTGTATATATAATTAGCACACATCTTAAATATAATTAAAGTAGTCAGCAAAGTACCTATAACAAATAGTCATTCTCTAAATGATTGTTTCTGGACTTCCCCAACCATAACCAAAACTTTATTAACAGAGAAGACGAGATAAAAGAGAAGTAAATGTTACTCAATTATGGTTTTGCTAGTTACGCAAAGAGTCATGAAGTTATAATTTGGATTCTTATCCTATTACCCTAGGCTATCATCTGTTCTACTGAAAGCAGGCTTTAGACAGTTCTATTTCTATTGGTGTAAGAATTAGAAACTTGATTATTACATATTTCTCCTGCAAAAAGGAAGGAAGGAAGGAAGGAGGGAAGGAAGGAAGGAAGGAAGGAAGGAAGGAAGGAAGGAAGGAAGGAAAGAAAGAAAGAAAGAAAGAAAGAAAGAAAGAAAGAAAGAAAGAAAGAAAGAAAGAAAGAAAGAAAGAAAGAAAGAAAGAAAGAATCCTGAACTTTGCAATAGTGGGCCATTCTTAGTCATTGGTGTATAACATATGTTCCTTAAGTTTTGTGTTGTTTTTTCTGCAGCTTTTAGAAGCTGCATATTTTAAACTCCTACCCATCAGCTTGTGTTGCTTTGTGGATGTAAGGCTAGAAAAACCTGCTTCCCACACCCTCAAGGCATGAAAACTGAAACTCCAAGGATATGGAATCCAAGGTCCTGCATCAATTTTTCTATGCAAAGCAAAACAAGGCTTAATGGGGGGGGGGGGGTTTACTGTAAAGTGAGAAAAGGGAGCTTTTGGGACTCTAGGGAACAGATGCCAAGATACTTACTACATATAGTTCCAGGGCCTGACTTTGCTTCTCCCCCAGGACTAAGGTCCACAGTTGGCGAGCAAACGCTGTGCCAAAGATCAATGTCAGAAGAAGGAAAATAGGCATCAGGCAACCCACCATGCCCAGAAGTATCCCACGGAAGAAAGCATGGAAGTTGTTGTTTCTGGCCTTGCTGGGTAATAGAAAAAGTGAAAGAGGACAGCATATAGGATTCGGGAAGAAATTTAGTTCAATACCATTAAATCCTGCATTGACCCCAAAATAGCCTACTATCTTCAGCAGATGTTAGTTTCCTAGGATTTTTTTCTCTAACTATAATCTTCTCACCCCCTTTAAACTGAAAGTCAGCAGCCAGAACCTTACAGTCCCAATTACATTTGAAATAACTGAATGTATAACCAGCCTTCCTTTAAAGGAGTCTAGATTATTAGTCTACATTACAATTCAAGGCACTTATAATGCTCCATTTTTGTGGGATTTATTTCCAAGTAAATGTGCGCAGGACTTGTGCTGTAAATTACACAACAGTCCTTTGAGGTACATCAAGCAAGAACATGCTTTCAGTACATTTTCTACTCACTTTCTACTCAATTTCCCCCCCCACTACAATCTTTTATTTATCTCTCAACAGCTGTCAACTCAGAATCTGCCACTCAGTTATCTCAATTTATTTTATTTTTATTATTTATTTATTAAATTTATTTGCCACCCCTCTCTCCACAAGGTGACTGAATTTGCCATCTTACGATACAAATCGTTTTCTATCCGGGATCTGATATCCCGCCCATCTTTTGTTGTAAATGGTAGAACCTCTCAGATGTTAAGTCTTCCACTCCCACAATGCTCTGTTCTTACTTGTCATCTTCTAGCAAACGCTGTGTGGCCTCTTCAATGAGCCGGCAATCCCTTTCCAGGGCATTGAGTGTGTGCTGCACAGTCTGGCTGATGGTCTTCTCAATTGTGCGACAGACGTCCTCGATCTGATTAACGCACCGACTCGGCTAAGGGTGAGCGCATAAACCCATATCACCATTTGGCAGAGAACCTATCAGCATTCTATTTTCAGTCCCAATTTCTTCCACATCCACCTAGGGCACTGACCAACAAGCTTTTCTCTTCCATCCATCCCAAGGCTCACTCCTCCTTCCAGAAGCCTGGAATCCTCATGGCTTCTGCTTCCATCTTATATCTAAAATAACTCCAAGTTTATCACTCACCTTATTGGGGTTGGGAACGTAAATTGTAGGCATGTCAAACCCACATTTATTGAGGCCAGGACGTTTACAAAGTTCTTGAACAATCTGCATCAGCACTCTCTGTAAGACAAAAAGAGAAAAAAAATCACGCGCACATGATTTTACAAACTGCCATTCTTAATTCCTTCTGTTCCATGAGAGAGCCATTCCCCATTCCAATCTGTGCCCATTATCCATGGGAGACTTTCTACCTGTCGATCACCCTCAGCGCCTGCCTCATCGGCTTTGCTCAGATAAAAGTGTAACTTGTCTCCATGCTCTTCATTGATCTTCTCCACTATGTTTAAGGTGCGTTTGCAAAGAGCCTGCCCCATGGGATCAAAGAAGACCAGGATGAGATCGCAGAGTTGGCCTGAACAAGATTATAAGGGAAGGAGTTAGGTTGCTGCATACATAGGGAGAAAATTTCCTACAGAAAGAATACATCAGTAGATAATTTCTTTCAAGCTAAGGGCTACTACAGTAGAAAATGCCCTAGGCTAAAATCTGTTCTCCCATCACCATGCCGGCATTTTCTTCCAAAACCCAAAATAGCTCTCTTGCACATTTTTCTTAAAGCAGAAGCCGTTTCTGGGTTACCTATATTAATCCATCTTCTGATTCAACTTTTCTCGGGCACATCTATTCTATTTTGAGGGCTAGATTGACTTGGAAGATGTGTTTTCCCGACTTTCCGAGGCCATGCTCCAATTTAATAGAATCCCTCTTCAGGCACCAAGGCTATTTCCTGAAGATACACTCACCAAACCAGATCAGTGCTCCTTCCACATCAAAAGGGTATTTCATATCGCCATCTACTAAGCCTGGAGTATCAAGAAAAGTGATAAGAGGAAATTGTTTCTGCTTGGAGGTACAAATCTCAGTACTCAGGTATTCTGGCACTCCTAAATAAAGATAAAGAGCAGAATGTGTTAAAATTTACTAGCAGCTTCTTGCCATTAACAGATAACAAATACCATGTTCTTCTAATAATCCTAAAACCAGACACCATACTTCAAATTTCATTACCAATATGAATTATTACAGGCAAGCTGTCAATGATCAATTACCCCAACTTTTAAATATCAGCTTCCTGATCAAAGGCTATACTCATCCAGGCCACACAACACTGTTTTGAATTAAAAGCCAACCCTTGATTTATCTTCAGTTGCAACTAACCTTTGAAGTTCTGCAAGATCTGGAAATGAGGATAGAGGTGGAGTGTAGCATTGCCCTGCAGGAAAGGAGTGGAAGAACAGAAGGCTTTAGAATACATGATATTAGTATGGCTGTAGCAGATGGCTTTTAAAGTCATTAGACAAGTTCTATTGAGCAGGGCTGAAGGCTGCCCTCGACTTTTTTGTGGGGTGCCAGTGTGTATGTTCAAAAGCTAGATGAGCCCAGGTCAAAAATAAGTGCAACTTATTACAACTGAATTAATTAAATATTATTAATTTTATTGTGTCTCATGCATTTTCCTCTTTGGACACCTGTTTGAAGCAATGTTTGGAAATCCAAACATCTGACTAACCCTAGGACCTAAGTCACAAGCTTGCTCTAAACCACCAGCAAACACATTGCATAGTCTAGGTAGTGGGATATCCTTGGCCCTCCAGATGTTGTGAAACATAACTTCCAGCATTCTTCATCATTGCTTATTGTGATTAAGACTGCTAGAATTATAGCTCCCCAACCAAATCTGCACTACCTGTGCACAGGAAGAAAACATCAGCAGGTTGGGAGAAACCTAAACCTGTTAAGGGGGGGGGGAAATGAAGAGGATGGGGAGAGGAATTTTTAAATATCTTTATATAAGCCTATTCAACAGTTATATGGTGATTGGCTGCTGATAGGAAAAACAAAACAAAGCAAAACAAAACTGGAGGAGGGGAAGAATTGACTGCCTGGAAGGAAGGGCAGTGGCTATTCAAGAAGGGCAAGTCTTACTGGTTAAATAGCAGTAGCCATAACAGTGAAACATACAAAGCGATATTAAAAATGAGTGTCTCTATAATCTCACCGTGAGAGATTCTCGCTTCTTTCCACTAGTGATGAAAGTGAAACCCTGAGTCTCAATAGCAACCCCAGTACGTTGGATGTGTTCCTCCATATACCTGCACAAAAATATCAAGAAAACCAAGACGGAATCTTTCTCTTCTTTGTGGGCAAATTATGGCTAAATCTGAACTGAAGATGGGAAGTGTAGTGTTACAACACATTCAGACCCAATTTCCTGAAATGTCCTGGGTTGTTAAATTGCTACAAATGTCTCAACACCCATTTGTTCTTCCATTACATCAGCATCATTTGTGTCAATGACACAATAAATTAGGCATTTCTGGATTACAATCCCTTTCCATGTTTTAAAACTAGTCAGTAAAAATAGGACCTTTTACTGAAACCCAGTTCATATTCAGTATAATCAACAAACTGTATTCATTTTGTTTATGCATCTTTCCCCACTAGCCTTTAATCACTTCTTTTGACATAAAACTGGGCAGAAATATGAGGGGTTTTTTTTCTCAGAGGAACTATTTAGAGGTTCAGCTTCTCATGCTGACATCTTGAATAGAAGTCTTTCCCTAGAATAATATACCCTTTATTAAACACTGATGTTAACAAATAAATGATAACTTCACCATTTTTAAACCAGATATTATAGTTAAAGTAAATTAGAAACAATTATTGCAAAACCTAAACTCTCCCAAACCCCATAACCTACAGGTTACCTGCAATTTCTTGTACAGGTAGTCCTTGACTTACAGCAGTTCATTTAGTGACCATTCAAAGTGATAGAAGTAAAGGAAAGGTCTTCAAAATTTAATATTGAAAAGAGAAATTTAAAATTGATTTTGCTGCAGTGGAAACTTACTTCCTGGACAAACAAGCTTACCAAAAACTATAATGGCTGGGAAACAGGAAAGGATAGCATAAAGGCAGGATGTAAGATAAATATGTAGGCAAAAATTGGCTGGGTCTTAGAGTGGGAAAAGAAAGAAGACAAACTATAAAAAACAGCTATAAGAGGAAATGGCTAGCCAGGAAAGGCATATTGAATTGAAAAACAGGAAAACAAGCTGAATAAGATAAGAGGAAAGGCATACTGAATTGAAAAACAGGAAAGAACCTATTGTTCTAAAAGGGGGACAGCGTCCCTAACAACTGCAGGGATTCACTTAACAACGGTGGCAAGAAAGGTCGTAAAATGGGGCAAAATTCCTTTAACAAATGTCTCACTTAACAACATAAATTTGGGGCAAAATTGTGGTAGTAAGTCAAGGATTACATGTACTACGGATAACTTTCTAGAATTTCCCCAGAATGCCTTGTGCCATACCACCCTCTGTTAAGATTTACCCAGAATGCCCTGCACTCACATCAACACCCCTTGGTTCTGTATCCTAATGATGCCATTCCCAGTTTTGACTTCCCTTGATTAATTTTCTGGCCGTCCCCTTCAGCTCACCAGTTGATAAAGCTGCTCTTCCCAGCACTGTGGTTGCCCATCACCATGACAGTCACTCTGCGGCGAGGGGGAAGCAGGGTCAGGCCCAGGCGTTGTCCTATGGTCACCAAACCTGGGAGCAGAGCGGGAAAATTATGGCTCATACTTGGCATGTTGTTTCACCCCTAAAAAGAAAGCGCCTCCCCCCCCCACTTTTTTCCCCATCCCCCCCACTTTTTTCCCCATCCCATCCCCTCAACTCTCACCACGACCCGGGTGCACATAAAGCGAGTGGGCCTCCCGGAGAACTCCTTCTGTCACCGACTCCGTCCCACCCCCGACGGCGGGGTTGGCGGCTTCTCGGGGCTTCGCATACCGGCTCCCTTGCATAGTTTCTGGCGGCCAAACCGGCAACGGAAGCAGCAAAGGCGACTGGGGAAGAGGGAGGGAAAGAACTACAACTCCCGGAAGGCATTTAACGGAAAGGACAGCGGGGCGCGGTCGCACAAACGTGATTTTCGATCGACGTCTGTCGGCGCTACATCGCAGAACTACAACTCCCGTGAAGCCTCGTAGCCACAAAACGCATCCCCGTCAGGATTTTAGGGGATTACGTGGCAATAGGTCTCTGTAGAAATTTGCTGTTCGCGATCATACAGCGCTTATTCTTGGACGCTTAGCGCGAATAAATGACGCAAATGTGGAAAAACAAAGTCGTTCGGGCCAGTGCATTTAAATTGGTCCTCGCCCTCCTATTCTTCCTCGGGTTTTTTTGTCTTTAGAAGTCATCTGAATCGTTTGAATGCAGGTAGTTGTAATTGTCCGAGTATTATTTTTTGGAGGACAAGCAGTTGCAGTTTTCATATTTTCATCTACAGGAATCTCTAAAGAGAGACAGGTTGGTGTGGTTAAGGCACCAGACAAAAATCAGGAGACTGGGAGTTCTAGTCTGCCTTAGACACAAAGCTAGCTGGATGATCTTGGGCTAATCACTCTTTCTCTGGGATGAAGGCAATGGCAAAACTCTTCAAATATCTTGTCAAAAAACTAGTCCAGACAGTCGTCAGGAGCCAAAACTCACTCGGAACCCAAAAAGAGAGAAAATCTTGGTTCTCTTGAAAACAACTTCTCTGACTTGATGCCTTCTAAATATGGTGGAATATATAAGATTTGGATTGGGGGCAAGGAAAGAACTATATTAGTGTGTGCCAACAAAAGAGAACTGGTATAAAATCTATAAATTGGACTGATAAATTGTAGCCTTGATTCTTTGACCATAGCTCTAGCTTAAACAAATGCTTTGTCCTCACAGGCCAAATCCTAGGAATTCAGGCCAGTGTCATAAAATGTTTTATAAAATTTGCCAAATTTCCACGGGAATCATGGATGTCAGATTTTGAATGCATTCTGTAAATTATTCTGTCCAAACAACTGACCACACTGGCACACAAGACACTTATGAGCTATAGAGAATAGGACACACAAATCCTGCTGACGATCTTACCTAGTTTGGTAACGAAATGTTCAGGAATTATATTAAAACAAGCTTGGAGAACAAACCACAGCCAAAATCTAAAACCCAAGCTACAAATATTTCCTATTTCAAAATTCTGTAAGTTAGCCCAATTGAGATACTTTGGTTCAAAAATTGTTGCCCTTTGATGCACTATTTCATCTACTTAAAGGTTATAGGAACAAAAGTGTTAGTAGCATACAGATGTCGTTTTTCACTTTAAGCCTCCAAGAAATGTTCTTTCCTGTCTCCTATAATGCTTGCTTTGCAAAAACAAGTCTCGCCAATTTAGTTTCCTGCCTTCTATTTCTTGGTAATCTAATGATAATCCACCAGATTTCAAATGTTCCTCCCAGAAAGAAAGTTTTTTCCAACTCATTTTATCTAGTAAGGAGCCGCTGGCAAACATCATATAATCTCAGACTGCTTCCAGAATAAAAGTTTCTGGGGCTATAATTATTAATGGGTTTCTAGTAAATTTTCTTGCATATTTTCTTAATAGGAAAAAAAGTTGAGGGGAAAATGCAGGGAAGATACAAAGGAAAGGTGATAATGTCTGTAAAAATTCTGTACTTAATGCAGAGTTGACTGTGGAATACAAATCTTGTTTGGAAGCATTTCCAGTTGCTTTGGAAAGGACTTCGGGCAACGTTCAAATACAAATACTCAACCATTGTGGGAGAGTCTCACTTGTCTTGGCTCTGTAGGAGCCAATCAGACTCTTTCTCTCTGGCTGGAAAACAGGTGTGGTGTTCCTGGAATTGCAAAACTAGGTATGGGGAAGATGGTATCTGCTTTTTTTATATTCTTAACTAAAAACTTCCTGTAAGCTTCAAAACAAACTGACATTCTGTGAAAAAGAGTTTTTAAAAAATCAGTATTCATTTCAAATCTAACCAGGGCCAATATAATCAGATGGTTTAGAACCTGCTTGAGAGGTCAGCTTAAGGGTAGTTAATGATTTTGCCATTCCAGTTCCATAAATGTACAACAGGGCTGTTATATCAAGAAGCCAAGATGGTGTGAAGGTACATCTAAATGAATAATAAAGATTAATAAAAATTCCTAGATACAGAAACCTAGGCCCTTTATCTAATCTCAGATTTAATCCCAGGGTTTCCCTTGAAATGTTTTATTTGAACTTGAGGTTGTCCTCGAAATATAATCAGTAGCTTAACAATTGTTTGAAGTTACAGTGCAAACATTGTCATTCTGAAGCCTTTTTAAAAACACTTCAGAGTTTTCAAATCTCCTTCCTTATGCTATTAAACTAAATTAATTGGGCTAAAGTCTTCAGGCCAGTCTTAAAGGGCCTTTTGGCTTTTCAAATCCTTTTTAACAATGGGAAAAGAAATGTACAAAAGGGAAAATGTCTCACTGAAGACAAAAATGATCTAGGATCAAATATCAGAGTAATAAAGTAGCAAAGTAACACCAATGGATAGTTACAGTACTTTCCTCTGCACCATCTGATGTTCAGTATTTAACATTCTTTTGGTTAAAAAGCTATTATAGAGGAAGCAAAGTATTAACCTCTAGTATTTTATGTACAAAAGTAGCTCTCATATAATACCATAGGCGTTTAAAAAAATAAACTTGACAAGTAGATACAGCCCAGAATTGTGAGCCTAGCTTCTTACAAAAAAAGAAAAAAGAAAGTTTCAGCTATTGCAGGATAGAAATGATGTCAAAAAACAGCAGTACCACAGTGTCTTCTGAAGACACTGATGCTGATGAAGTGTGAGCCACCTGTTCATCTGGACTCGGTGAAAAGACAAGGCCCATACTTCTGTGCAGAAAAGTGCGAAAGAGGTACACACTTTGGAGAGAGGATTGTAAGCCCTTCCTTTTTTTTGCCTTCTTTTGTTCTACCCTTCCATGAATTGGCATTTTTTTCTTTATACAGCACGTCCTTTTCATTCTGGGCATCCAGTTAAGAGGAAGCAGTTGACAAATACATGAATCTTTGGGATGCAAGACTTTTACTGTTGGAATGCAGTGAATATTCTGCTTTTCTGCTGAGAAGAAGCCCCAAGCAAAAATAAGGGTCATAAGTAGAGATGTCCAGTTCTTAACTCCTAAGAAGTCCTTAATTAATTAATTTCTATGCCATGTAGTCCTCTCTGTAGGAGCCAATCAGACTCTGCCTGTAGATAATTTTGATGTTTCCCCTTACAGGGGAAGAGGGGAGGGAGGCAAGGAACAGGAGATAGCCAGGTGTCTTTTTCCATTACGAGGGTATCTCCTGTTTTCTTTCCTCAGATTTAGAGTACAAGGTAATTGTCTGTAGGGAAAGAGATGGAGAGAAAAAAGACCCGTAGCAATCAGGAGAGATCAGCAAGCAAAGATGCACAGCTTAAAACCCGAATTTACGGTTTTGTTCTGTCAGGAGTTGGCTATCACTTGCAAATGTGATTAAAAGACATAAGCTTTTGTGAGCTATAGCTCACTTCATCAGATGCACTGATAGAGTGTCTACTAACCTGAATTTCATGAAGCTTTTCTTGGCATGATATGCATTTTTTTTTACAAATGAAATCCATTCAGGATTTCAGATCAATATCATATTCAGATCAAATGTGTGTCCTCAACTTACAATCATTCATTTAGTGACCATTCAAAGTTTTGACGGTGCTGAAAAAATCCAGTCCTTCCACTTATGCCCTCTCCTTGCACTTACGACCGGTACTTGCACTTCGGGCTATCACACCAGCCCCATGGTCATGTGATTGCAATTTGGGTGCTTGGCAACCATCTTGCATTTACAACTGGTTGCAGTGTCTTGAAGTTGCAATTTGTGTCCAAATGCCCATTCAGAAGACTAGGTTTACACTTACAACCACAGTGTTGGCTTAATAAGCATGGATTCATTTAATGAGCATTGTAATAATGGCCATAAAATCAGTTCCAACTTGATTTACAACTACAATGACTTACAGTAGAAAGTCAAATCCCAATTGTGGTTGCAAGTTGAGGACTGTACCACTATTTGAACATAATTTGGCTTTCTTTGTGACATAATCTGTAGCTATGTATTTTATTTTAAGCATTTAAGTATGTTTTTCTGAGAAAGGGTCTGTAGGTTTCACCAGACTTCCAAAGGAGTCCATGGCATAAAAAGATTAAGAACTCTTAACAGATGTAGACTCACATTCCTCAATGTGGGGCACCCCAAATATTTTGGAATAGCAATACATTCAGAGAGTATCAGATGGGGGAAAGGTACAGTGTAAATGGTCCATCTGATTGATCCTAAGTTTGCAAGCTTGTAAGTTAAACCTCACTATTCAGTTTATGTGGTTGGTACTTTTTTCTACAATCTAAACAGGGATAATAGAAGTACCGTAACAGCGAAACTGAAATAAATTCATTTCCATTTACTTGTTAATGCCAAGATCATTAAAAGAAAAGGCATACACATAGTTTGGTTTGCTCTTGCTTTCAGTGTTCTATTTTATTAAATACAAGGAAAAACAAACATTTCAAGAGATGTGGTTTACAATTCAGTGTGGAATGTCAGGCCACTGTCTGCTAGTAAGTGGACACAGAGATCATCTAGCTGTTCACTTTGAGCCACAGTGAACTGTTCTTTCCAGTCACCAACAGTGCCTGCAGGTAAGAAAATAATCCAGAATATAAAATACAGCAATAATAATTAACTGATTAGATTGATTAGTAATTTTAATTGACTAAAGCAGTGATCCTGTGACATAGGGTGCATAAGCACACACACAAATACGCACACACACACACACACACACACACACACACAGAGAGAGAGAGAGAGAGAGAGAGAGAGAGAGAGAGAGAGAGAGAGAGAGTCACAGTCCTGTAATACCTCTTAACAGTGCTTTTTTGTAAAAAAAAAATAAAGTGCCGGAACTCACACACGTCATACAACCCGC